GGTGTTATAAGCAGTACCTCCCAAAAAGGATTTCAAATAATTAAATTTGCTTATAGCGTCAAGCGTTTTATTTTGGTGTATGGCTGATGAAAAAGTGTTCCAAAATGTCAGCCATTCGCAGCTCTCGCCATAAAACTTCGGAATCGTAAGTTTAGGAAGCTTCACATTATGACTTTCGATTTTAACGTTTTCTATAATACTTTCACTTAACTGTTCAGTGCTTTCTTAACACACACTAAATTTTTGTTGTTCTATATTAATTTCTTTCAATTTTTTGTTAGCTTTGTATTTAAATGTAGTTATTCTTTCACGATATTCGTCAACACCGTTTAATTCCTGGTCTAGATCCTTTATGTCTATTAATTTTTCTATATCGGCATCTATTTGTTTTAACTCGTTCGATTTTTCATTTAAGAGTTCTAAGGAAATTTCTAGTTCCTCTGCATTCACTTCTGTTTTTGGTAATTCAGTTTCGATTCGGCCAATTAATTTTGTAACGGCAGCCCTTATGTGGCCGCGTTTCCTTTTCAATGTATCGATGAATTCCGTCATTATTTAATATTCAATAATTCAACAAGTATCAGCAATTCACTAATTATTTATGCTTATGTATTATCTATATAACTGATATCAATTTAGACAGTTTCAATAGTTAGGAAAACAGCTTAGTTACTGGCAGTCCCTGTTCGGGCGCCATGTTAAAAAATTTTATCAACTTTGCACTATTAAAATTTTTTGATCATTAAATAGATAAGTGAAAGTTCACTTACCTTCTAAATAGGGCTGCCCTGAACTGCCTTGCTTTCCCTTCGGTATCGTCTCTATGATGAACTTCGATTCACTTCGCAAACACAGCTATAAACTTTTTAAGAAATTTTAATTCATATGAAAGATATCTACAAAATATTTACAAGTTATAATGATTACAAGCATAATTTATACGGAGACGGTCTATCGTTATACATCTGTTAGACGCGTCAGCCGTTCAACTGACTATTTTAGTCTCTTTCGCCAGAGGATCTGGTGATATTATACAAAAGCGACGCCCCAACAGCTTGGTGCTCAAACCCCCCTTGGGCATCTTCTATTGCATGACTCCGCACAGTTTAATTTCAAGTTTAATCTTTCAATGTTAACTATGTTTAGCGGTGACTCTTTTACTCAGTAACTGAAGCTAATTTTCACATATTCATTATCTACAGAGACATATTCACGTCTTGTCATTAAAAACCTCAGAAAACATATGGAGTTATAACACCTGGGTTAAAGCATTGCCTGCGATTTGGTTTGATTATACAAAACGCGAAAATCAAATTACGATTTGAATCACTAGTGAAATGTCTTGCTAAACTTAATTGCACGACAACATATAGGCCGAACGGGGGCGCCAAAGATGCTCGGCAGTGGCACAAAGCATAACAGACTTACTGAACCAACTTATTGCAAAACACACAGCGGGAATTAACCAAGAGGGGGGGGGTGGGGGGGACGGGGGGGGGGGGTGGGGGGGGGGGTGGGGGGGGGGGGGGGGGGGGGGGGGGGGGGGGGTGGGGGGTGGGGGGGGGGGGGGGGGGGGGGGGGGGGGGGGGGGGGTGGGGTGGGGGGGGGGGGGGGTGGGGGGGGGGGGGGGGGGGGGGGGGGGGGGGGGGGGGGGGGGGGGTGGGGGGGGGGGGGGGGGGGGAAATTTGGGGGGGGTTGGGGGGGGGGGGGGTGTTCAATGTTTGGGAAATGGGATTTGGAAAGCAAGGATGGGGAGAGATACCGAAAGGGGGTGCATTCGGGGGGAGTGGGGTGGGGGGGTGGGAAAGTGTGACACATGGGCTTTATGGAGGGATAGAAAAAAGGGAAAATTACAACAAATATCCAATTAAGTTAAGTAATCCAGAAACAGGATTCACATGCAAAATGGAAGTTACAAGAAGCTCAGCTTAATTTTCGAAGTTTTTAAGTCTTTTTCAATGTTAACTAGTGTTCTAGTCTGTGAACTTCTTTTAGCTCAGGATCTTTCAGGTTATTTGATTTTCAAAACCTTATAAGGTATTTCTCCGCTTTCCTAGTGTGCCTTCGTTGTGTAGTGATCTGCATGCTGGTCTGGTATTCTAGAGGTCCGTGGTTCAATTCCTGGTGAAGGCATTTGGTCATTTTTCATCTTGCCTGCTTCCAAAAATATCCTAATGTCTCTACAGTGGTGCCCGAACTAAAAGGGTGTTAGATGAGGATTCTCCACTCCTAGGATTTGGCAACTGGGTTCCCTAAAAACCCCAGTTGCCCTTTAAAAAGCGGAATATATAAAGTATTTCTTTTGCTTTTCTAGCGTATCTCCATGGTGTAGTGGTCTGCAAAAGGGAGTCTGCATTTGTGTTGCTGGGCCGGTATTCCAGAGGTCCATGGTTCCATTCCCGGCGAAGGTGTTTGCTCATTTTTGATCTTGCTTGCTTCCCAAAATATCCTAATGTCTCTACAATCTTAAGAACAGAATGTCAAGAATGTCATGTGGGATTATCTTCCAGACTTCTTCAAACATGGCCCAGCCATTCTTAATGTATTACTGCAGATGCCTTGTGTTATTTGTGATTAGCTATAAAGCATGTACAGTTCAAAGTTATATTTTGTCCCCAACATACCCCTCTTCCTGTACTGGGCCAAAAATTGCTTTGAGGAATTTTATCTCAAACATGTCCAGTGAGTGCTGTATGTTTTTATTTTAAAGTCCACATTGCGTTTGCATAAAGTTAAACAAGTAGTATCTAGTATATTTCTACTTTTAGCATTGATAATTACTGTCTCCGTTAATAGGAGATCCAGGTGTATAAATAGGCAATCCAAGGCTAACTGTAGTATAAATTATCTACTAGCAAGCAAGATCAGTGTATAATTTTTTATCTGTGCACAACATGATAGATATCCAGCTGTAGTGATATACAGTCAAAAGTCGTTAATCCGGACTCGTCGGGACTTCGGCGATTCCGGATTATCGATTTTTCCGGATTATAGATCATCAGTTTAAATCTGGTAGATGGCATGCAGAATTACAATTAAATAGAACCGTTATTTATGAATAAAGAACAATTGATCTAAAGAGTACAAGATTTACAAAAAGAAAAAGCTTAATATTTATTTGTTTACTTTATTAAACATTTCTTTCAATATAAGTTGTTTAAGTTGCAATGACGAGGAACTTGATTTAAATCATAATCCAATTCGAAGATTAAGGAACAACGCAATCTGCAACATTAACTGAATTAGATAATTTTAGCTTAGCTTATACCGTCCGTTATACATTAAACGCGCATGCGTAAAAGTTTTATGCGCATGAGCACATGCATATTCGCAGCCGTAAAGGTCTTACGTGCACGCGTAAATGCCTATGAGCATGCGTCAACACGACGCATGCGCAGAAATGTGCATGACCTCAAAAACATATGGATTATAGGTGTCCGAATTAACGACTTTTGACTGTAGTAAATTCCATTGTGATGAAAGGCATGTATGTGAGCCCTGATATATTGAAAAGTGCATGAATGAATCCCAGTCAGTTGAGCATTAAATTTTTAGCCTAAGTTCATTGGAGTGCAAATGTATGCAGTCTGGTGGAGATAGTCTGAGGTCTAAACACAGGTATACGTAGGAGAGAAAATATATGTGCATGCTGTTGAAAATAGCCTGGGATCCAAGACAGATACATTAAAGGGCAAATATACATACCCCTAATAGATGTAGTTTGGAGTCCAAAATATAGTATTCTTTTAAGAGCTCCAGATGGTCACTTTCCTTTATATTATAAAGGAAAATTAATATTATGAGAAATTTTAAGACATCTTTGAGGCTCTAGACCATACTTTTCTGACCTGAGTATAGTGGATGCCCAAAAAATTTGGATATAGTCTTCATTATTGGTATTTGTTGTGTCAACCTAAATATTGTGGTTGATATTACTTGTAGTCTTGGTACTGTGTATCATTATAAGTTAAAGGTGTTAATTTGTGGATGAAACATTGTACAGAAAAGTAGTGCCATTATAAATTCCTTACTCCGCCTAGTACTGAACCGTCAACTCTTTGGTTCGTAGGTGTGTGCTCCAAGGGCCAGATCAAACGCATGCTCTAAGTTCATGACTAAATCCATGGTATGATTAAAATCATCTATGAATCAACACATTTCCATCAATGTGAAACTGTGGAATCAAAAGCGGAATTGTTCTGTGCGCTAAATCATTTATTCAGACTTTGTACTCTTTTATAGCTACCTAAATACAAGTCCATAATATTATTCTGTCTGGAAACATAACTGGAAAAGTTCTGCATTTCTTTTATGTTAATTGAAACTGTGATTACCCCATTGGTTCATATCTTGGGCTTTTTTTTTTTTTTTTTTTTTAATATATATAAATCTAAAAGGTTTGATATCCAGTATTTTCATCTTATGTTGTGACTGAATAATGGTTTTGAAATTTTGATCTCAGAATGTTAACAAGCCAAAAGTAAAGCAATAATGCTTAGACATGGAGGATGAGTAATTGTACAGAAATCACGTTCATTGACACAAACTGTTTTAACTCTCATTGCATTATATACATGCATTGTTCAAAAAGTTCTGAGCAATTAATTCTGATGTATCCAAACCCCCCCCCTCTTTTTTTTTTTTTTTTTGGGGGGGGGGCAGATTGGATGTGTACTTTAGTGATCTAATTTGTGGAGGGAGAGGATATAAATTTGGAAAAATAATATGTATATATATAAATGTGCCCTTTCTAATTTCACTATCTCAGTTGGTAATACAACATAGTGTTGCAGGCATAAAATCTGCAAAATATAAATTTTGAATTTAAGCATTTTTAACTTTCTTCCCTAACTTCAGAGATTTTAATGCTGCAGATGCTGAAATAAATTTGGGAAAAAAAGTGTTATTTTCATTCTTCCAATGCTTTTGCATCCACTTTTTTCTTTTTTTAACATTTGCCTGAAAGCTATAATGTTTGTATGAATGAAATTTCTTTACAGGTTCAAGAATTTCATCAACTTGAAAGTAATTTGCAAATTAAACAGTTTTTGGCTGATACAAGAAAGTTTTTGCATCAGATGTTACGTACTATAAATATTAAAGAAGAAGTACTGATAACTTTGGAAATGGTTGCAGATTTATCTTATGCATGGGAGATAATAGACAGGTACATTTAGAATCAGTTTTTTAAATTAATGAATAGTTATAAAAAATGTTATTAGTTACTTTTCAAATCAATAATTTAAATTATGTGAAAGTAATAAGTTGATTATCAAAATGTAAAATTTCACGTGACACTAAAATTCAATGCTAAGTCTGTTATTGATTTTTTTTTTTTTTTTAAAGAATCGGAATTATATTTGAGACTTTTTTTCATGCAGTTTTTTTATTATTATTATTAGTTGCTTAAAATAATTCTTGTGTATCATGTGATACTGTAAATGATTCATTTAGTTAGTGCATATATTAGAAAGTTATTAGTATTTTTAGTTAATGTATATATTAGAAACTGTATATTTTTGTGCATTAAATGCATTTAATTGGATTTAAAGTAGCCATTCCTCAAGTGTTCAGTCTAAAACTATATGTATTTTAAATTAGCTGGACTGTTATTTAATGTGTTCATGATAAGGTTAAAACATTATTGAAAACTATGTAAAACTCTACGTAATGTATTGTTAAATTGGAAATTTCAGTGTATTTTCGGATGTGCCTGAATTATTATAATTATATTATTTCTAATAATTGTGATAAATAATGGATTTTTGTGTATATTATTTTAATTATGCAGAAATGTTTTACTAAATACAATTAAGTTTTCATACATGTATTTTATGTGAAAATGTGTGTGTGTACGTATACATATACATATACATACTGTAATGTATTTTGCAGTAATTTACAAAACAGACAATCTTCTTAGTAGAATATAAATTTTATTTCTAGCTCATGGTGATAGACAATTTTTATACAATTATTAAGTGGTAAAATTTTCATACTACTCCTAACTGCTAAAATCTTCAGAATCTAATTTTTTTAAAACAATATTTCATGTTGCTGAGTAACGGTTTAATACAAATATGGCGTTGCCACTTCAACAATAATTATATTTATTTATTAAATAACAAGATATTACAACCTCTTCCCCCTCCAGATAAACTTTAATTTATATCTTTACTAGGTGTACCCGCCCGGCGTTGCCCGTGCATTTAGAAAATGCAGATAAGTGAATAGCGCAGGAATAGTAGTGTAGGACATGTAGACTATCTCTCTCTCTTCCCCCCCCCACAAGCTACAAAAAAGAAATGAATTGTAATTAATCGATTTAATGTATCGTCAAAACAGCAAACTAACGCTAGAATAAAGAAATCAATTGTTACAATCGAACGTTATTTGAAAACAAATAATAATATCAGTGAGTCAAAAAAACCGTGATTAATTAATTATAAATAATTTTTTTTAAATTTTTCTAATTCAAAAATCGAAAATCGGGCTTCGAGGTCTGGTGGCCAGCCCCTTGTGCTTCCGTATAAAAAATTCCAGGTCCTGCGTGCGATAGATTTGGCTGGAGAGCTCGGTCAGACAGGACAGACAGACACATTACACTTGCTTTTATTATTATAGATAAATTAAAGTTTACGGGTTTTTTTTTTTTTTTTTTTTTTTTTCAAAACAACAATATTAGCACAATACAAAATTGAAATACAAGATATAACATAATAAGATACACTGAGGAAGAGAGGAAGGAACAAAATATTTTTTTTATCTACATAGAGAAACAAATTATTTAATCAGGCCAGGGAGTACAACATTTTTGTGGTTTTTACCACTTCGATGAACGATTGTGTAATTGTAGGGTTGTAGTACTAGTGCCCATCTCATAAGTCGTGGATTTAGACTCGCATTATTTTTTAGCCAAACTAAGGGATTATGATCGGTCATGATGAGGAATTTAGTATGCCCGTCTAAATAACATTGAAGTTTCTTTACAGCAAATATTATGGCGGAGCATTCCTTTTCTGTGGTAGAGTACTTTTTTCAGTTACTGTAAACTTCCTACTGAGGTATAATACTGGATGTTCATTGTCTCGTTCATCGTTTTCAGCTAAAATGACACCCATACCAGAGTCTGAAACATTAGTTTGCAAAATAAACTCCTTATTGAAATCAGGTGAGTGTGACAGAGGCTTTTGTGGCAGTTTTTCTTCTTCAACAACTTCTCTGTTTAGTTTCTTTAAAAACTTCTCCTTGACTTGCATCTCAACTCCAAAACTTGGCAATTCATCTGGAACTTTTAACTGAGAATCGTTTAATTTTGTCAGTTCTTTCTTTTCAGATAGTTTTTGCTTGTTGCGAGATGAACCTTTGTTCTTATCTGCTACTTGCATTCTCATTGAATGTGGCAACTTTGAGTATCCTCTATCATGTTTATGCCTCTTTGCTAAGTTTTCTGATGCGAGCTTATATTCTGAATGTATTTTTAATTTCTCAGCTTTAGAAGCACCTTCATGAGTTCTTTTATAAGAATTTCTTTGATCTGCTGCTAACGAACTATCAAACACATCTTTTCTTTTTGGAGAAGAAGGAACTGGGGAACTTGTAGAGGAATAATCAAACACATGATCCATAGAAGATGAATCACCAGGTAAATAAGGTGAGTCAACTTCCATATAAATAACTTCAGTTTTCTCATCAAGTGATGAATGCTTAGATTGTTTGTCAGATTTCTGTGAAGCATTGACAGGAGCTTGACTTTTAGGAGGGTGAGTATTGACTAAATTACCTTGAGTTTTAGTACTATTATTTGTTTGGTTCTGTATCAAAGATGTATAGTTCTGCATTTGATCCCTATATTTTTCAGGAATAACAATTAATTCCCTTTCATTTCCCTTTTTATCTATTTTCTTTTTCTTTGAAATCATTTGTGTTGCTGAAATTTTCGCTTTTAGCTTCTCTAAGCAATGAGGCTAGATCTCTGCTTTGATGCTGAGATTCAATTAATTCCTTAGAATTACACATTAATTACTTTTTTCATTTCTTTGTCTTTCTCGTCAGCTTGCATTAAAATATCTTCATCAGTCTCAATAACAGACAGTGCTTCTGGTTTTCCCATTTTAGTGTCTCTACTTCGATCTTCTTCATGAGATCGTGTCAAAACCGCATTTATCTTTTCTAAATTTAAGAATTGTTTATCTCTGAACAACTGAGCAGTTTTGTTACCCAATACGTATTTGCCAGGATCATTTGTAACAACGGCTGCATTTTTCTTTATATGACCAAGTTCGCAATTAATTTCAACTTCCGCTAACGGTAGACACACTAAATGGTCATTAAAAGATATTGCACCCAGACCTGTCAGTCATTTTTGCATTATCTATGTAATTTCGAGAAATAACATCAACAGTGGCTCCTGTGTCTCGAAGAATAGGCATTTCATACCCATTCACTAAACCGTTAATTGTATATGTCTCTAACAAATCATCATTCGAAGATACGCAATTTACCTTTTCATTTGGTTTTAAGCGAGGACACTGAGGCTTAAAATGTTCATATGATCCACACTTGAAACAACGTGGTCGATATCTTTTGTCATATAAATTTTCTTGGTTTTGTTTGGAACTGATTCCTTTGCTGATGATCTTTCTTGTATTTTTGAATCATCCCATCTATAAGAATGCTTAAAATGAGGCGGATGCTTCTATTTTTTTTTTTCACAAAATTATCATAACGCGGTTTAAATGGTCCTTTGTTAATTTTCTCAGTCTGATTGGCAGTTTTATTGTTTTCTCACATCTTCAAAATCTTCAATTTTCTTAACCATTTCAGTAGGTGAAATGATGGTTGTCCATTGATCCATAAAATGTTCTTTGAAATCAGGAGAAGTACGCTTTTTCATTTGATCAACCAGCGTGAGATGTTTTAGCTGTTCAAAAGTTTTAATGTTCAATCCGTTAAGCCATCCTTCTAAATAATTCTTTAATTCATAGTAGAAATCATACCAAATACTTTCAGTAGATTTTTGGTGTTTATTAAATAGTTGTCGAAATTTTTCCGCAGTCAAATTTAAATCGTTGTAACAGTAAAGTTTTTACATATTCATACTTTTTCGCGTCCTCTTCCGGTTCTCTAGCAATAAGCTGAACGATGTCAGGGGGCAGCAATGAAATAAGTTGAGTCACTTGATTTTCAGCAGGTATATTCATTATTTTATCTTGACGCTCAAATAACACCAGAAATAAACTTATTTCATCTTCTTTAGGGTTGAAACAGGGCGTGACATCGTGAATTCTGATTTTTAAAGGCTGCTCAGGTAACTGCGTAGTTTCTACCAGCTGTGCTTTTGCAGCCATTGCTTCCAACTGAAGTTTCTGTAGCTCAAAGGCTCTAATTCGCTCTTCTTTTCTTTCTCTTTCTTCTCTTTCGTGTTCCCTTTCTCTTTCTTCTTTCGCCAGTTCCCTTTCCTTTCTCTTTCCTTCTTCTCTTCTTCCTTTCTTTCTTTTTCGTTCTTTCTCTTCTCTTTCTTTCTCTTTCGTTCTTTCTTTCTTTCTTTCTTTCTTTCTTCTCTTTCACGTTCTTTTTCTCTTTCTTCCCTTTCGCGTTCTTTTTCTCTTTCTCTTTCTTCTCTTTCGCATTCTTTTTCTCTTTCTTGTCTTTCACCTTCTTCCTTTCTTTCCCTTTCTTCTCTAATTGCAGCCAGTAGTTCTCGAGTAAACTCCTCATCATAATCGGGACTTTCAGTAATCAGTTTATGCAACTGAGCAATCTTAAATTCAGGTTTCACAGTTAAACCTAACTCTTCTGCTAGTACTTTTAATACGAAATTCACACTAACCAATTGGAGAGAATTATTTAAACAACTTTGCCGGGTTGGCACGAAATAATATAATACTACGTCAGATTGACGTTTTAACTCGCTATTCACAAGCCTCATTAGCTATAACTATATAAACACCTTTGCCAGTTAGGCAATACAATGGAATTTTACCAACGTCAGTTTGACGATTTTACTATCTATCTCCACGCCTGGTTGGCGATAACAAAAACAATTTTTGCCAGTTTGGCAATACAACTTTTAGAATATACAATCTGTAAACGTCGGGATGACGTTACTATACCACACGCCTGGATGGCGAGAACTTAAACTTTGCCAATTCTGCAGTATAATCAATTCACTCTACGTCAGTTTGACGTATTACTTAATTTTCACGCGCCTGCTTGCAACAAATTCAAAAACTCAGCTAGCAGTTTCTTTTTTTTTTATATATATAAATGCCGGGATGGCTTACACATATCAATTATCAACATAAAATTTTAATACATATAAAAGTAAAGCATAAATAATAATTTTTAAATACTTCTTTACCACAAATATCAATTATAAATTTAAGCTGAATATTTTTAGTGTCAGTTATTTTAAACAAAATCTTACACGATAAACCATAATTTTGAAACAAAGTATTAAAATTCAATAAAATCTTTTTTAAGAAAACCAAAAGTTAATCTTATCTTCAGAGATCAGCAATATCCTATTTTTGACAATTTTTCTCGGACGCAAGTTACAGAAGCACAGAAGATAACCTTTGAATGATCCGCTTCAAATCTGGCTTTAAAACGGCAGACTTCTTACATCCATTTCTCCTTGAAATAAAAAAACTTGGAAATTGGTATTAGCAAACTTGTTCTAAAAAATTCAGTAAATTTCTGGGATTAGGAGACCAGCACCATCGAAATTGATAATTGCACTCCTAATTTCCAGTATCTCGGTGGAACCTCCAATTAATTAAGACTGTAATGTATTTTGCAGTAATTTACAAAACAGATAATCTTCTTCATAGAACATAAATTTTATTTCTAGTTCACGGTGGTAGACAATTTTTATACAATTATTAAGTGGCAAAATTTTCATACTACTCCTAACTGCTAAAATCTTCAGAATCTAATTTTTTTAAAACAATATCTCACGTTGCTGAGTAACGGTTTAATACAAATATGGCGTTGCCACTTCAACAATAATTATATTTATTTATTAAATAACAAGATATTACAACACACTTATGTATGCATATGCGTGTCTTTGCATATATATACACACACATAGACACAGATACATGTACAAGTTTACAAAAGAAGATGGTAATTATTCTTATTGTACTCTATTTCATTCCATTTCTCTTATGTTAATAGGCATGTTTAAACTTATATAATGTATAACTTCTTATATTCTGATATTGGTTTTTAATTTTTATAGCTATACTGTATATATGCAGCAAGGAATTAAAAGAAACCCTACACTAGCAATAAAATTAAGAGCGACATTTCTAAAGGTAAAAATTTTAATTGTTCACTGTAAGCTTCAAAAATATTCTCATAATTTATCAGTGAGTCATCAAAAGGAGGAATGTTCATGTTAAATGATATTTAGCCCCCTTTTATATTTATCATTTTTAATTAAAATGAAAATTCCTACACTTTCTTCTAATTATATTGTTATACTAATAAATGCAATGCAATAACCACAAGTCAAATTTTTATTGTATCATTTTTTATAAGCCATCAATCATGGAAGATCCTTTGAACTAACAGATGTAGCTCATAAAATGCATATAGATAAGGCAGCACATTTTATGAACAGATTTCATGTGGAAGTAATGAAATGGTCTGTGTCAAAAATTCTAGAACCATTTAATTTATTTATCTTTTGTGAAGAAATCAGAAAGGCTGAAAAGGGAACATAATACTTTCATAAGCTAGTTATCTCTTTCCTTTTTGACTGTTGAATCCAGCACGATAAAGAAATGAGTCATATATCATATGAAACAGTACTATAATCATCCCAAAGATCTTTGCTTTGCTTTTCCGACTTAATTCCTCTCTTTATGGGATTACCCCCCAAAAGAGCAAACCTTTTACTATTTTTAATTTAAAGGGGAATTTAAAAACATTAAAAGTATAACTGTTTGAATATTTGCTTCATTATGTGCCACAAATCATATGTTAGTGGGTTATATTGAAAAAGATACTGCATACTTCTAGCATGTCTGTGAAAGAAACTTCACTTTCCCTTTTATTTATTTAGCTTGCATCGGCTCTTGATCTTCCTTTGCTTCGTATCAACCAGGCAAGTAGTCCAGATCTGCTTTCAGTATCACAGTATTATTCTGGGGAACTTGTATCGTATGTTCGAAAAGTATTGCACATAATTCCAGAGACCATGTTTGGGCTTATGGCTCAGATAATATATCTGCAGACAAATGTTTTAAAGGAAGTTCCTACAAGACTTATGAAAGACCAGTTGAAAGCATATGCTCAACTTGATGAAAGATACAAGGTTTGTAAATTATTTTATTATGTTTGATTTATAAATTTAGTAAAAGTTAACTCTTTTACTTCAAATATATGACAGTTAAATCATAATTTTCTCATCATGGCTTAATAAGTGTTTACAGTTAGCTTTATTAATTATTGAAGTAGATAACATGTTTTATACGTTAATTAAAAATATTTTCAATTTAGTGACTAGTTAGTGACTAATAGATGATTTTTGTTTTGAATTTTTATTTATTTATGTGGTAAAAGTTTACAATTGGGTGCCCCTTGTTTTTTTTGGCGATTCCTTTTTTACGCCAATATCGGCACCAGGAAGGCACAATTTCAAGATGGCAGCTATGCAAAACCAAAATAGCAAGTCAAAGATTTGCAGAAACTCGGTGTCCATGTACAGATCGATCTATTTTCGCTTAAAAATATCTGAGAATTGCACAAAACTCGGCATTATACAATGCCTTGACTTTGTCTATGTACATATTGATCTATTTTCACTTTAAAAAATCAGGAAGCTAAATCCAAGTTAAAACTATCATGGTAACCAGAAATGGGACTTCATCACCAAAACTGAATGAAATTTGTCATCAATGAAGGGGCACCCAATTCTACACTAGAGCCAATTATTTATTTAACTTTCAACTAAAAATGAAAACTTTTTTAAGGCTTAATAATAAATTTAACAAAAAACTCAAATTTGCTTTGTCAAACTTTTGATTTCGTATATTATAGTGTTGATTGCAGATGCCATACTGTTGAGTATCTGAATTAAAATATGCATTTTTTAATTAAATGTTTTCTGTATGCTTTCTTCCTTTTTCTTAAAATGCTTAGAAGAAAAATCTGTTTAAAGTATTAATTGTTCTGAATTTTATGATAAATGATAACCATAATAAATTAGCTGTGTTGCTAAATGGTATGTGAGATCTTTCATTTTATCGTCTCTATAAAAATTAACAAATGTTTAGTTAATTTTTAGTCATTTAAAAATCGTTTTGTCCGAGTTTCTTAACAATATTTTGCAGTATGTGTTATTTTTTATATAGAGTGTTTTGAATAAAATAGGTTTCTAACACTCTGTAATTGGTGGATTGCAAAATTTCTTAATCAGTTTCTTTTGTACGATATTAAGTGTATCCAGACTACTTTGTTACTATGAGTGAAATCTTTGTAGTAGTGTATAGATTGCAGGCCTATATATATTATTATATTGCAGGCCTATGCATATTCCTGCAATTCAAAATTGAAAGAACAAATGCAGTTTTTAAATTGAAATTTTACTTTCATAGATCCCCTTAAACTTAAGCTAGCCATTCCAGTGGAAGTTTAAAGAACAAGTCATTCTTTATTTATTTAGATAATGACAGATTGCTGTTCATTTAATTAGTTTAACTGCAGGTACAAGTTATGGAATATGTCTTTGGAAATTTGCAGCCAAGTGGAAGCAAAAGTAGCATTTAATGCATCTCTTGTTAATCATCTCATTTTTATTCTTCTGATTGTTCATTCCAAATAGAATGTGATAATCCTTTAATATGTAAAATTCAGTGGACACTTTCATTTGATTTGCAATCATCAAAACTCTAGTGTTAGGTTATTCATCATATTCCTATAACATAATGCTAATTCTTCTTTAACATGCTTGCTGCCATCTGTGTGAAAACTCATATAACTGATTCAGAAGTCAAACAACAAAAATCAGCGTTAATTTACAAAATTTTCACAGGACTAGTTTCGATGGTTTTACCGAACCATCATCTTCAGCTGCAAAACCGCAAATGATTGCTGCAAAACCGCAAATGATTTGCGGTTTTGCAGCTGAAGATGATGGTTCGGTAAAACCATCGAAACTAGTCCTGTGAAAATTTTGTAAATTAACGCTGATTTTTGTTGTTTGACTTCTGAATTAGTATTTATTCGGCGTGTTATTGTGTCTTCATATAACTGAGTTTACTTGCATGGTGTCAGATAACTTGTTATTGATCATCTTGTCTAAACTGCTGAGTATTGCAACTAAATCACAGAGTATGAGTATTATATAAGTATTTGCAGTAAGTTCGTGCAGTTTTTAGGTATTGGGGATTCAGAAAGGGACTCAATAATGCATTTGGTGAAAAGTTCCAATTTAATTTTGTACATCCAAAACGCAAATATAATAATAAAATGATTAGAACTCGAATCCATTTATTGAGAAACTATCATTATTTACTTGGGAAATCGTAAAAACTATCTGCTGAAATTCTTGTTCAGTGTTTCATGTAAAATTAGTGGAAAATAATGTACCACATGTGCAAGAGTTTTACATGAAGGCACAGCAAGGGTGAGTGTTGTTGTTATATAGTTTTGAGTTATCTCATAGTTGGCACAAGAAGCAAAATCATTATATCATATGCTAACTACACTTATACTCATCTAAATTTATTTACCACTAAAAGTAATCTGTCATGTCATATCTGTATATAAATAATAAACAACAGAAAATAATTTAAAAACATAAAATGCGGATAGGATCATGAGGCGTGTGAACGGACTCACCATTTCAGCTTTGGCTGCAAACATGTTATATTTATATACAGGCATTTTCTATTTTGACTTTAGTTTACAACTAGAATACATAGCTGTGACGCAGATTGATTGCTTTCATGTTTCTAAATTCAGTTTGTAAATGTAAAGTCTTTTGTGTATATGAAGTACCTTATATTAAATAAAAATATTTTAGAATTAAGATTAAAATTAGGTAAAATTTAGCCTTAAATTGTTGTTTTCATAAAAGAAATTATTCTTATGATAAGTTCTAACTTTTTTCTTGCTAACACCAGTGTAATCTGAAGTTTTTGGACCTAAGTACCTTATTTAGTTTTCTCATTCTCATTTGAAAATAATTTGTTACTTTTTTCAGCACCAAAAAGGCAAGCTAAATAAGAGTAAATTCACTTTGTGATGATTTCCAGTTTTCAAGAGTAATCTTCTTACCTTTAGTTTTTTTTTAAATAAATTGAGAAATCTTTTCAGATCTTGAATTATAAATAGCTAAAAAAAAAGTACTTTTCCTGTCCATAACCAAAAACTGTTGTAGCTTCATGTTTACTAGCTCAAATTTTAAAAATGTATAATATTTTCATGTGTTGTATTATGAACCGAGCCCGCATTGGACTAGCTGATTCGCCGTTGTGTGTTTCATGTAATAGTGGACGGTCAATGACAGCGGAACATTTGTACGAGTGTGAAGCACTGCAAATTTTTCTTCTAGATTTTAGCACTATTGGCAAGCAAGAAGTTTAATGGCCTAACGGCCAATGTAACTGGCATTTGACAAATAAATAAATATTATGAAAATTAATTTTAAATACTAACTTAGAAAATTATGCAAAAAATTTCAAAAGCATAATGCAGTTACATATACATCAGTTCTTGGTATACATAATAAAATTTTATGACAAAGATAGTTTTGTGAATTTTTGCATTCAAATTTGTAAGACCAAGTTTTTATAAATAAATATGAATCAGATGCAGTTAGAAATCCATAATGCATTTAAATTTTTAATGGGAAAATAACAAAGAGGTATGTATAATTTTAAATTGTACACCTGTAGTTTAAATACGTTTTCTTTCCAAATCATTTTGTTTGGCTATGATAAAAGTGCAATATTTTAAATATTCTTTTAACTAATTTCTAAAAGTTCTTTAATTTTCTTTTTCAAGTTGCTTTTAGAATTTAATGTAATTATCATTTCTGTTGAGGATAAACAATTATGTCCATGATATTTTAAATTAATTTAGGTTGCAAAATATACACATGCTATATCTGTATTTACTGAGGGAATTCTCATGATGAAACGCACATTAGTTGGAATCATTCAGATTGATCCAAAGCAACTTTTGGAAGATGGAATACGCAAAGAATTAGTTCAGAAAGTTGCTGTTGCTCTTCATGAAGGTTTGGTGTTCAATCCTAAAGTAAAGGTATGCAAGTCTTGAGTAAGTTTTAATAAGTAAAGTTTTGGCCTCCGTATCAAGTTGATTTAAGTTAAAACATTTCATTTTACCATACATTAATTTTTAGCAGTATCCGTATTTAATGCTGCAGGAGAAATTTTCTATCTTGTGAAGTAAGTAATTAAAATATGTGTATCAGGAAAGTGATTGGTGGTCGGATGCATACGCAAAATGAAACCGACTAATTCATCTAATGATTGGCTGAATACTCATTACATCATATACTCTTTTGCAAAAAAAATCGAAGCACCAAGAAGGACTTCTGCGATCGTGATGAAATTTGGTAGGCAAAAACATCTTGATCGAACATGCAAATGATCAAAGTTTCAAGGCAAATGAGCAGGAATTGGGATCATAGAGCGCATTTCTAGTGCGCAATTCGCAAAGTATAAAACCAGTAACAGAGGCAGAAAATTTATCTCTTTTTGTTGCTACCATTGTAATTCCATAAAGAAGCAACTAAAGATGCCATTACGACGATATCGAAGACCTTACAGATAACTAAAGACTTCGAACATGGTCGCATTGTAGGGTTCCGGGAAGCTGAGTGGTCATACCAAACAATAGGCCGCCATGTGAAGTGTACAGACACTGTAGTGCAAAGATGTTGGCGGCAATGGTTGCTACAATGATGAAATGAAGGCTCCGGAAGACCAAGGAACACAAAATGCGAGACAAGATAGGATGATTATTCGCCAGACCCAAACCTCCCCAATGTTATCATTGTTAACTATTCAACAGACTACCAGCCACGTCTATTCCTGCTTTGGTACCGTTCACCATCTCTCAGCACTTGTCTGAGGTGGGGTTACATTCACAGAGGCCTTTAAGAGGTCTGCCTTTGACCCCACAACATCGGTAGAGTCGTCAGGGGTGGTGTCACAGCCGATCATCATGGCTGCCATCAGACTGGCATCGTATAGTGTTCAGCAATGAATCCCGCTTCACTGTTGAAGCAGATGACCACCGTGTTCATGTCTGAAGAGGATGGGCCAGCGGTCTCAATCAGCCTTTGTTTTACAAAGGCATACAACCATAAACCCTGGTGTTATAGTGTGGGGCGCTATTTTTTATAACAGCAGGTTATCTTTAGTCATCCTCCATACATCTTTAACAGCTCAACAATATGTTGATACCATTCTGTGGCCGGTTGCATTACCCTTCATGGCACGTCATCCTGGGGCCATTTTCCAACAAGATAATGCCAGGTTACATACTGCTCACATATCTCTGGGACTGTCTGCATGGTGCATGGGTTGATACTTTTCCTTGGCCAGCAAAGGTCACCAGACCTTTCACCGATCAAGAATGTCTGGGACTAGGTAGGCCACCATATTCCGGCACCACAAAATATCGCAGAACTGGAGGAAAAACTGATGAATGCTTGGCAGAATGTGTCGCAGGATGGCATTACAGGAGGTAAGGAATGGTAGAGATTACAGGAATCTCTACCATTCCTTACCTCGATGAATTTAAAAATACACTGCTGCGAGGGGCAGTTCAACCAACTACAAATTTGAACACTCAATGAGTGATTGTGAGCTGTGAATAGGTACTATGACCTTGATTTTTTTTATTATCTGTGTATGTGCTATACACATATTCAATTTCATCAAAAACAACCACTTCCTTCATGGTGCTTTGATTTTTTTTTTTTTTTCTTTTTGCAAAAGAGTATATATTACGTGTTGAGTGTGTTGCTGGTTAGCCAATCATAGATCATTAACTGTAACCGTTAATCACTTGTCAGTATTTCCCCGCACTCCCAAGTAGTGCTGTAAAGGTAATAAAAAATTGTGTACCTGTATGTATTTGTTACTCGATGAAGCAGTACTCGTTATTTTCGGTAGAATCGAGTACTAGTATAAAGTGTCACATCGCATTGAATCATGTGAGCGGCTGAACCCCGCGGGTGGTAAAGTCGCTGAACACTGATAGTTCGTTCTGGAGTTCAAATTTCGGCGAGCAGGCTGGCTGCATGGACATTTTCATGGTTTACCCCATGTGTAATGTGCATATGAGCCAGTTTTCCTCAAAACGCCCTTCACAAAGGCATTCCTCCCCTTATGCTGATAGCCCTAGTGTGCTTTGCTGTAACTTAATAAACCAAAACGAGAAAGAGGAATTGGTGAGGGAAGGCAGCAATGAAAGTGCACTTTTCTTGAGCTGGGAATGGAGTGGTACTAATCCTTCAGAGGACAGTGAATAAAAGCATTCTTCTGCAGGTCATAGGCGAGGGCAGAAAAAAATTGGATAATAGATCATTTTAGAAGAATGGAATACATAACCAAATTTATATCCATACTGCTCATCCAGGGCCTAAATTTAGCTAATGCTCGGTGTTGCACGTGGTTGCGAGTGTGTGCAACAACAAACTATGAGTATTGGAATTTGCCAGTGCTTTTAAGGATGAATTCATAACATGCCATAAGAGCCAATTTTAAGATAACAAAAACATTTAATCACATCACAATAGTAAAACTTAATAAGTACAGTTGACAGACAATCACGTTGGAGGAAAGTGAGTGACCAACCTCACCGATGATGAGACATGACTGTGTGTCGCCGAAATCACCTTCGATTACAGTTAGTGATAATGGCACGTGGTTGCGAGTACAATACAAGTTTACAGAGTCGCCATGCTATTCCCCCTCCAGTGGCAATGAATTAAAGGTACCGAGGGTTAAATCGGACTCTACGTCCAGAATGTGTATGCTGAGGAGCACTTGTTTTCTGGGATCCAGGCACAGGAACTAACGTAGTAGTAGATGTTGGTGTAGACCCAATAGATGAAGGTGCCTTCGAAGGAGGTGGGATTGGTGTACCAGTCTTGACAATTTGTGGCGCTAAGATAAAGGCTGGTTTGAGACAATCAAGGCTCGCCACTGTCTTTTTGTCGTCGATTAGTATCCGATAGTTCTTGGATGTGCGACTTAGAACTAGGTGTGGGCCTGTACAGGTAGGCTCCAAGGACTTTTTTGATGCATCACACCGTAAGAACACATGTGAGGATGTAGCGAGTTCTTTAGGAACAAACACAGGTCTTGAAGAATGTATGCTTGTGGGCTTAGGGTATAATGCAGTCATGGTTTCACGCAATTGTTTGAGGAATGCATGGGGCTGGACATTGGGTGAGTTTTTTTGCAGGATTTATAAAATCTCCCAGTAAACATAAATTGGTACCATAAACCATTTCAGCACTTGAAGAACCCAGGTCCTCTTTAATAGCCATTCTGAGTCCTAACAACACAGTAGGAAGGACATCAACCCAGTGAATAGCAGTATGGCATCTAATGGCCTGTTTAAGAAAGTGATGGAACCTCTCGACAAGTTCATTGGAATTCGGGTGGTAGGGTGATGTACGGATCTTTTTAGTTTCCAAGAATTTTGTTAATGCAGTAAATAATTGAGATTCGAACTGCCGTCCTTGGTCCGTGGTAACGTACTCGGGTACCTCAAACCGTGAAATCCATACAGAAAAAAAGGTTTTTGCCACAGTGTCGGCTGACATCTACAATGGGGATAGCCTCTGGCCAACATGTTTATCTGTCGACACACGTAAGAAGATATGTATAACCTAGTGAGGGGGGTAAGGGTCCAACCAAATCGATACGTACGTGGCTAAAGCGAGCAGATGGTAACTCGAAGCGTTGACATGGAGTTCGAGTGTGCCTGTGAATTTTTTATTTTTGACAGTCTGCACATACCCTCGCCCATGCAGCGATGTCCTTCTGCATACCAGGCCATACAAAACGCTGTTGAATTAACATGCGAGAAGCACAGATGCCAGGATGGGATAAATTATGGAGGCCGCTAAAAATACCATGCCGGAATTTCGGACCAGACCCTATTGATCCATATACAAAGCTCAAAACTGAGTTAATAAATCGTTCAGGAGAATCTTCTCAGCAAGAAATTCACCAATTATTATCTGGAGAAGAATTAGGCTCTCGAAAACCTTACGATTTGCTTAGCAATATGAAACGTCGAGCAGAATCTTTAAAGTGTTCCAGATAACTTAATGTTAGAATTATTCCTTCAACGTTTGCCTTCGACTGTTCAGTCTATTTTTGCAGCGGTTTCCAATTTAACTGTAGATAAAGGCTGCAGAAATTGCCGACAGAATTTTAGAAGTAAATCCAACCCCAGGGACTTGTGCCGTTTCTCGCACAGTCGATCAGTCTCTTGAGGATAAATTATTTAAACAAATAGAAAAATTAAACAAACGTATTGATCGCATTTCTCTTTCTCATGGTCGCTCGCCAAAATTGCGGAGATCGCAATAAGGAAAGAAGCAATTCCAAAAGGAGAGATTATTCTGTTTGCTGGTATCATAGACGTTTTAGGAAAAAGTGTAGAGATGACAAATGTACAAAACCTTGTTCATGGCAGGGAAACGAAACCAGCAAAGAATAGAGGTGACTTATTCTTTGCCTCAAGTTTCATGTCGCCTGTTCGTTCGTGACCGTAGAACAAACCTTTCATTCTTGGTCGATACTGGCTCTGACGTGTCCTTACTTCCAGCAAATAATTCTCAAAAACGGAATTCGTCCCAACAAACACTTTTCGCTGCTAATACTTCTACTATTCATGTTTATGGTCAAAAAACACTTTCTTTGGATTTCAAATTAAGACGACAGTTTACATGGACCTTTCTTACAGCAAATGTTAGTACACCCATTCTTGGAGCAGATTCTCGATTTCTTTGAATTGGTGCCTGATCTCAGAAACAAATGTCTCAAAGATTTAAAAACGCATTTTAAAACCGTCGGTTGCGTGAAAAATGCAAGCATTTCTTCAGTAAAAACTGTATTTAGTGATACACCATATCACAAAATTTTAAAAGAATTTCCTTCAGTTACTAGATTACCAGATCCTAACCAACCTGTTAAACACAACACCGTTCATTATATCATAACTAAAGGTCCACCTGTGGTTGCAAAAACCTCGTCGGTTAGCTCCAGATC